ATAGAGCAACAGCAAACAGTGTAGCTATAGCTGCTCTTTGCCCCTTTATTTCGGTGCAGATTTTCACACACGCGGCGCCTATGAAAAGTCTTGTCTGTGATCTCTCCTGGCTACGTACGTACGTACGTACGTGCGTATACGTCTCTCTGTTACCTTGCTATATAGTAGTTCTAGGGTAAGCAAGCTCATAGGAAAGTAGTTCCACTTAGTGCCCTGAATCTTCTGAAGCATGTAAATGGTGTTCTCTGCTTAATAAATTTGTGTCGGATGATTCATTGATTAAAGAAACGAAGGATGAATGAATCTCAGGTGGACTGGACGCCGGAGTTGCACCGTCGGTTCGTGCAGGCGGTGGAGCAGCTGGGGCTGGACAAGGCGGTGCCGTCGCGGATCCTGGAGCTCATGGGGAACGAGTACCGCCTCACGCGCCACAACATCGCCAGCCATCTCCAGGTCCGTTTCTTTCCATGCATTATTTCTGCAAATTAATAGTACAATTTTGCTAAAGCGCATCCAGATATGTTATAGGTATTGCACATCTAAGTCTTATATCAAATCGTCAGCCGAGTTTTAAATTCACACGGGCGCGGTGCCTGCCACTGCTAGCGCTAAGACAAACACGAGCATGTACACACGTACATGCACTCCATCCATCTCCAGCTCCAGGCAGCACAGTCAGATCTGGCCGTCTGGGCAACATATGTACGTCTGTGCTGCCCATATGTATTGTCGCCATACGTTGTCCAGGCACGGACGACGTTGCAGCCGCCATCCCCAGTCCCTCACGGCCTCGTGTACATCATTACAGCATTATTATTATCGCTACGTATGCATACGTACCGACGACGCCACTGTAGCAGTACGGCATATGCATGGCATGCATGCATGTGACCCCATGCGTGAATCATGCAAGTCCTTGGCAGCGCTTTCACAAACACATGCATGCAGACGCGGGGTGTCAAAAGTGAAACCATCCGTTCATTCATTCATTCAAAACAATTATCCAGTACGCCATGCTCATGCATGCATGCGTTTCCGTTTGGATATTCCATTGCCCAGACCGTGCAACGGGGAGGCGCCAAGGTAAGCAGCGCAGGGGGGGCACCACCACGCCGTACGGGTGACCACTGCCCACGCCACACGGATTTGAGGGAGGCCCCGGCCGGTCCTGCCCTAGTCAGCGCGGGCGCGTGCCATGTCGCCGCTGGCCGGGTTCCTCACCGCCGTAGCGCCCGTGCATGCAGGTACTACTCCCACTCCCTGCGCCTGCGGCCCGGTCCTGGACGCCCGTTTTCTAGCTAGATGGCCATATCCTCGCATGAATTCCCGTGCGCGCGCGTCCCGCTTTGGCGCCAGGCGACAGAGATCCAGATCTCGGCAATCTGTTCTTACTCCCTTTAGTTATAATGATTTAAAACGTCTTATATTTGTTTACGGAGGGAATACCTTTCTGTAAATTGCTACAACTGTATATATAAGTTCTTCCACCTCATAAAATAACCATTGGATGGCGAACTGAGAATTGCATTGCTATGCATTTTAGTGAACCAGTGAGGTACGGTGGATTAATTGTGATAGTCCAACTTTTTCAATCTAATAAGTTTTGTGGTATTTTTTGAGTTTAGCTAACAGACCAAACACGGCAACATTTGAACCACAAACTACACCTTAACATCTGTATGATCCTGTAAACATGGCAACAGTAACTAAAAAGTGGAGGCTTATCCGAAAATGAAATCAAGGGGTGAGTCAAATGATCTCTATATGATTTGTAAGAGTGTCTACTTTTCTGAAGACCGTTATTCTGTATCTGCTCCTCACGGTAGAAAGAATCATATGGGGAAAAATGGAGTGTTTATTGGCTGAGAAATTCCTAGTTCTGAGTCGAAAACTCGAAAATGATTTCTAATCGACTGGAACGACATTATGTTTACAATTTTGTAACTGAGCATCTGCAGCTTTTGCATCTAAGGCCTTCTTCGGTTCATATATAGGATAAGAATAGGAAACCCATAGGAAGTGAGATGACATATATCTCAATTTCTGTAGGAAAGAGATACTAACATTTTGTTCATAGGATAGGATCTTTTTCATTGAGTCCAGGCTAATAGATTTATTTATTTTTGAAATGTGAAATGATTGGTTCCTATCTTACATAGGAACAGGAATTCATTTCTACTCCCTCTGTCCCATAATGTAAGACATTTTTGCAAGTTATGTTAGCTTGCAAAAACATCTTACAATATGGGACGGTGTGAGTACAAATCAAAGGGCCAAATAATTTTTCCTACAAAATTCCTATCCTTCAGAATTCCTTCAAAATTCATGTAAAACAAAGGAGGCTTAAAGTAGCACTTGATTGTTGTGTAATTTTAGATTCCATGATGTGTGGCTTGTTCGATTTTTTTTTTCTGAGGGAGTGTGGCTTGTTCGACTTAAAATAACAATTATTAACACGGTTAAAAATAGTAAAGGTACTATGATGTTGCATTTGTGGTGGAACACTCAAAGTTAATGTGGTTGCGTTTCAAATGGAAGTTAATGCGTTTGACATGTCCTCCGTGCAAGTGCAGAAGTACCGGTCACACAGGAAGCACCTGATGGCGCGGGAGGCGGGGGCGGCGAGCTGGACGCAGAAGCGGCAGATGTACGCGGCGGCCGGCGGGCCGAGGAAGGAGGCGGCGGCGGGAGGCGGCCCGTGGGTCGTGCCGACGGTCGGGTTCCCGCCTCCAGGGACGATGGCGCACGCGGGGATGGCGCACCATCCCGGCCAGCCTCCGCCGTTCTGCCGGCCTCTGCACGTTTGGTGCCATCCCACCGGCGTCGACGCGCCGCTGCCGCTGTCGCCGCCGTCCATGCTGCCCGTGTGGCCGCGGCACCTGGCGCCGCCGCCGGCGTGGGCGCACCAGCCGCCCATGGACCCCGTCTACTGGCACCAGCAGTACAACGTGCGTGTGCTACATTGCTCCGTCTCCGTCTCCCTCTTCCCGCCTTCACGTGACTAAGGCTCTTTTGCTTTGCATGTTTGGCGGCATGCGTTCGTAATAACCGGTTGATTTACCGTTTGTCCTCACTCAGGCTGCGAGGAAATGGGGCCCGCAGGCAGTGACACAGTGCGTTCCGCCGACGATGCCTCCTGCGCCCATGGTAATTAAAGTACTAGCTAGTACAGTATGAATTATTTGCCCAGTCGTTAATGTTGAAGCAGCTGTGGTAGCTAATATGGTGACCTGTGTGTGCGCGTGCAGATGCAGAGGTTTGCTGCGCCGCCGATGCCGGGGATGATGCCGCATCCCATGTACAGGCCGATCCCGCTGCCGCCGTCGCCGGTGCCGCAGAGCAATAAGGTCGCCGGCCTGCAGCTTCAGCTCGACGCCCACCCGGTAAGTACATTAATTCATATACTGTACTTTTGATCCTGAAGTCACACTATAGTACACGGACGGTGTTCCAATCCAATCCAAAGCAGAGATATCGATTGATTATTTTTGGATAATCTTTGTGTTCAATTCCCGCTATATATATATTACTTGTGGTTCCTGATTTTTGTTGCACGCAACGCATGTACATGTATGCAGTCCAAGGAGAGCATCGACGCAGCCATCGGAGACGTTTTAGTGAAGCCATGGCTGCCGCTTCCCCTGGGGCTCAAGCCCCCGTCGCTGGACAGCGTCATGTCGGAGCTGCACAAGCAAGGCATACCCAAGGTCCCGCCGGCGGCGACAACGAACTGCGACGGCGCCGCCTGAGAGTACGTACGTCTCCACCACCACCGCCGCCGGAGCCGTCATGCTGCTGCTTCCCCCCTCTCTCTGGGTGACACAACTCGTCGACAACTCGTCCGTCTGCACCTACGTGCATAGGTATGACTGATCGACCGGTTGGTCGGTCGATGTACGCGTGCGCGTCTAGATTAATACTCTACGGAGTACTTGATAGTTATATAATAATAATGTACGTACTGTCCTGGGTGTGTCTGTATGAGTGCACTGACATGGATCTCTGGGTTTTTCCTCTCGTGTACGTGCGCGCTGTGCGCACACATGAGAGCTGCGTCTATATTGTTGGGATGGAACAAGTTATATTATTGGGCTGGTAAATGAATAACCAAGGATGCACATGCATGCTCCGTGTGGAAATGCACTTGCATATTTCTGCGATATTCCACACTTGCATATTTCTGCGAAATGTGAGAAACATCTTTATTAACACGACAAATATGGGACAGAAACTCTTTATCTGCATGCAAAAACAAGCTTTTTGGTAAAAAAAAAGTTGTTAGCTCAAATGATGATATCAAATGTGAAAAACGTATTACTAACACGTACTCCTACACTGTACCAGGAAATATAATGTGGGGACGAAAAATGTGACTAGTAAGCACATTTGTGATCGATGCAAACAAATTCAAGATGCATGCCACAAATATAGAAGCTCTGCATCTGTATGAGAAATAATCAGCAAACTCCCCATTGATAACGGAAACAACAAAGATAACAGAATCAGACTTCACGTGTTCACTGACTTGAGTACACCAAATGTCGCCATCTAGTCTAGGAGACAGCCGACACATAATCTTTTCTCTCTTTTTTTTTAAACTAGGCAAAAGATTTACCATTTTCATTGATTAAGAGAGAAGTTTTAGAGGTTAAGGCCAAAGGCCGAATTACAACAATCACTCTCATCCATCATAGGTGCTGGCATAAAGGCGTTCATAGAGAATAACACAGTACATACTACAGACTTTTACAGCGATTGATTGACGGAGGCATGTTGAGCTTACACTCGAGGGTCAAAAATTAGCATCGCTGAATCGCCGATACACAAGTCTTTTTTTTCATTCTTAAAAGTAATCTGGTACGCTGTCCAAGGTTTGCAAGTAACAACATAACACTACACATAATAAATATGTTCGCAGCTTCCCATTACTCACACTAGACCAAAAATAATACTCCGCCGTAATACCACTTTGCTTGGCCTCGCGATGGTCAGATCCCACCCTACTCAACTTCTGTGATGAGCCTTCTCTTCCTGAAGGGCTGCATAGTCCTGCTCCCTGGAGCACTGTGCGCTCGCCTTCTTTCTTCTTTCCGGCTTTCCGCTTCAATCATGGCACGCCTTATCTTGCCTGCCTTGTAGATCGGCTTGGGCAAGTGCTTATGTCTGCAGCGACACATCCATGCAGCATCAGCAGAATGATGGTTGCAAATGAAGGTAAACGAAAACAGGATGCTCCATGAAGTTGAAGCACTTCTCATGACAAGAAATAATGGCTTACTTGACGATCCGCCTGATTTCTGCCAGGTGACCATACCGCTCCACGACAGCATCTTGATATTCTTGCTTTTTGCGTTCCCTTGGAAGAATCTGTAGACAAATATTTGTCGACAATCATAAACCATCCCAAACATCTTACTACATAATAAAAGGCCTTAGCATAATAAAAGGCCTTAGGAACACTCAAGTCAACAATGCTTGTGTGCCAATAATACCGTATCTAACTTAAAGTGAGGCCATCAGGACCATTGTCCATGAGCCCCAAAAGTAAAACGCGAAGTGTCAGAGAAGAAGGCAAACTCATACCTTAATGAACCATTATCAAGTTTCAATCAGACAAGTAATTACCCGCTAACCTAGCTAAGCATTTTTTAACCCATAACTGAAACTCAAAAGGACAACTACTAACTGTGATGTCTTAAAGGTCACTTATATGCTCACATTTACTATTGATTCTCTGTCATTCTTAATTAAGTACATCATCTGTGTTTGGTCATGGAATATGATGTTGCTAAACAGAAGGAATAAGAGGATGTCAACAACAGACATTTATTGTGATGCTACTTCATTGGGCATCCATATGTGAGCTCAATCACATGACATGGAACTGAAGGAAGTAGCAAACGTGCCGAGACAGCAACAACTGGCAAACATTGCATGGCAAAAGAAAACTTACAACTCCCAATTGTTCTGAAGCTTTGGACTTCCACAGTCGAAGATTTGTATCATCACTGCCAGAAACTAGATAGGTCCCATCATATGTGTATTTCACACAAAACACCCTGCGTAAGGGTAAATTGGTTATAGCAGAACAGAAGTTCCATAAAAGCAAATTGTTCAAGATAAACATGGAATATGGAATAAATAAGATGGCTAACGGTAAAAACCGATAAATATATAAATGCACATGTATCAGAACTGCTACATTCCATGCTGATTCCAAGAACCATGGTTATTTGGCTGTGCATCAAGTTGCAATGGACTTCTTCTCAACGGAGCAACATATTCAACTGTAAAACTGGTTGAATTGAAAAGACTATTCTGGAACACTCAAAAGATATAGGCCAAAACTGATCTGACACTAAAATGATATGGTTGGTACCCGACAGAACAGGCTTGAGGGGTTGATAACCCATGGTACCAACTGTGGGATTAAAAGTTGGGAAACATTCTGAATTTGGGGCTTAAGATCAGGTAGACAAACTAAGGAAGGAAAAGTTAAAATAAATAACAGAAACAAACCTCTGCATCCTCTTAGTATGGTATATCTCCCTGCTATGATCACCGTTATAATTGAAGATCCGTACCTGCAAAAGCAGTAAATAAAATTGTGAAAAACCACCTAAACATGGTTACAGTGTGAACTTGGATCTACAAAAGTGGCACGTACCGTTCTATCGTAGGAACCAGTAACAAATTCCCGTCCTGTCGGGTTGTAATCAACATCCATCCTGACAACTCAACTCATGTAAGAATTGACTTCTAAAAATCGGAAGGAAAAGAATACTGCATGTTGCCAATGGGCTTGATACAGAACTACATGAATTGATAGCTTTCAGGTGTACATTGTATAATGCAAGGCAGGAACTGCACGTCTCAGTGAGTTCAATGACACATTGACAATGAAATAGCACCCCATTAAAATCCTTATTGCAGCTTCAGTTTTGTTGATGTACCCTAGAACTTTTCCGTGTGCTATTCGTATTGACAGGAGATGTGCATATATGCTAGCACATGCATGCAATTAACATACAGATCTATATAATATTCACTCGTTTTCTCTACTAAGGGAGTGGCCTTTACAGATATCTATATTTTATACTTTAAACAGGACATTAGATATTTGTATTTCCAAGTAATACTTACACTGCTGAAACATGGCCCTTGTGAACAACCTTGGCTTCATTTAGCTTTCTAGAATCAAAAGAATAACAGTTTGTATCTTCATTTGCCTATTAACAAAAAGAATCAGGACGGGAGTTCTTAGCTAAGCAAAAGCTCAAATTTTAAACAAAAATTCATATATCTTCCAGTCTGGAATAGTGTCATATAAGTTCCTTAATTAGCGCACGCATATAACAAGAACAAAATGTTTGACATTTCAATCTTACAGCAGTGAAGTTCATGGGCTCCCTAGGGTTCCAGCAAACTGAATTGCACCTTGTCTGCATAAGTAAAAATAATACATTAGCATCTCCAACTTCTCTGTAGCTCAGTGGTTACTGAGATAGAGCTGAAAAGCAATAAATATTCAGCAAGGTTCCCCAAATAATTATAAGAGCACTAAAAATAACTAAGTTAGTATGATGAACGAGAACATGCAAATTTCGACTGATCAAATATGGTTGACATTACAAGAAATTATATTAGTTGGCAGAAGATGGTGCTAGATCTAGATTTTGGACACTGTTGGCCTGGTCAAAATGGTTACTTTTAGGGATAATAAATTCCAGAACAAAAGATAGGCTTAAGATTCTGAAATGGGTTGGTTTAAAAGAAGGTCCTGGAAATCTGGAATGTCATGCGAAAAGACTAGAATGAGTTGGCATGCCAGATGATTGCAGACGAATAAATAGAGAAATCAATGCATTTGAAGATGCTCCTCAGAACTGTGTTGACAAGATCACATATTGATATTGAGGGTGACATTAATGTGTCCGCAGAAGACAGGAAGGGTCAATTCAGAAGGGCAAAGTTGTAACTAAAAAGATGTGTAAACAGATTTTAAATGTAAAAGAGATGGATATATCCAAGACCTTGCAAGGACCTATTACAATTTAATCCATATGATAGGACACATAACCATTTCTCCTGAAGAGCGGATATATCTATGTGTTCTGTAAATGCACCGTCCACTGTTCTTTCTTCCAACCCACCAGAAACTGACCAGTTTTAACTTTTAAGGTGGTTCCCACAAAGTGTTTGTTATTTTCGATATTCTTTGTACTTTCAAGTTTTTTAACTACCATAGTTTTATATTATTCTTCACTCTTTGTTAGGACCGTAATTACCTCACTCCCAGTCCCAGTGGGATAAAGACCCATCAGACCTCACTTTGGTTTTTTTAGACGCGTGCATTAGGCCCATTCCCTTCATATAGACAATTAATAGGCAGAATCATACACCAACTTGGAACTTGTTGAAGTAGGCTTAAGAGTTCTAAATCCTGGTTACACACACCAAAAGACGGGATAGAAAGAGGCATGTGAAATCTTTCTAAGTCAAGCATAATTTAGTCTAAAAAAACTGTATAATCGGTGCTTGGGTTTTCAAGGTAAACTCCAAGTTAAGCAATACCATTACCAAGATGTCTCAACAGTTCAATTTAATTTTGGCATGAAGCATCATGCAATAGTGAACTAAAACTAACACAGCCCACTATCATATGGTAATTTTTAGTTGGTCTTTCTCACTTATGCTTTATGTTTCGTTTGGTGATGAACAAATGCTGATGTACTTTCAGCACAGGGTATCAGAACGAAACGGTAGACATTATGTGCACAGCATATGAGAACAAAGGAAATGTTCCCTGTACATCAAAGTGTCATAGTGTTAGCATGCTCTATCTATTTTGAATTTTCTAGGTATTGCAAGCATCCTCCACAAATAAAAGAGAATTCAACAAACCTTCATGATTAACTTTCTAGCTGGGGATGACATGCGCAGGTCAAAAAGTGTTAAACTCCGATCACTGCAAAATAAATACAATCCTATTTTAGTAGGAAAAGAAGTTTTAAGGAAAGCAAAATATCAGAATACAACATTCATAACAGAAAATTAACATTGAGAGCAACAAATACTGGAATTTTAGGGCAAATTAAAGAATAATCAACTAGAGACAAAATATAAAAGGGCACCCCGGTGCATGTAGCTCCCGCTTGAGCAGGGTCCGGGGAAGGGTCTGACCACTTTGGGTCTATTGTACGCAGCCTTTCCCTACATTTCTGCAAGAGGCTGTTTCCAGGACTTGAACCCGTGACCTCGTGGTCACAAGGCAGCAGCTTTACCACTGCGCCAAGGCTCCCCTTCAACTAGAGACAAAATATGTTGTACAGAATATCTAAAGTTACCTAGATGATGTAAGTAAAACATCAGGTTCTCCAGGATTAAACCGCACAGAAAGAACTGTATCTTTACCCCATTCGAAGGTATTTATTGGCTCCGACCTACACAAATGAAATTAGCATTGGTGGTGGTAGAAGAGACCAAAATGCTGGGGAAAAGGCTATCAGATATTATACCTGTTATGATCCCATATATCTACCTGAGCACCCACAGTTGCGAAAACATTACGATCCCACTGGTGGTCAACACCCCTAAAATTCATCAGAAGAGAAATGATTTATTCAGCAAAGAAGATGAGAGAAATCTGGAAGAAGTCAAGGCAGTGCAATAGTGCTCTTACCAAAATGCATGCTTCCATGTATAGACTGCTGACGGCTGTAAATCACATTGGCAAGGTAAGGAAATGAGATGCCATACAACATAGATAGTGCAAAACAAATGTAACGCATCCCTTCAGTGCACACCTGGGAAGCATCTCCAATAGCATCATCAGTGTTCATCATCTTACGCATAGGATCTTTCCAGAGTCTAACACTGCAATCGATAGATGGATAAATACATAGAAAGATCACAGACACGGATACATATTCACGAATCCCCTTCTGTATTCTACACTTTAAATAAGTAGACTTTGATGAAGTAAAGTTTAATTAATATGTTTCAAAACCTGTTTGAAATGGTTTACCACAAAAAAAAAACTATGTAACGCATAAGTCAGTATGCCACTGGAGTTGCTCTTAACCTATTAATTAACTCATTTAAAAAGGGCTGCTATTTGTATTTAATGGGGCTTAATCTTGTGGTAATTTTAAGATAAAGCACAAGTCCTACACAAAATGCCTTACACATATATACTCGAGAAAGACAACGAACAGTTCCTAAGACATGGTGATTATTAATGCACCTGTTGGTTAGAGCCAACTTATTGCAAAACATAAGCAGCGAGAGAACACCACAAGGATTTAGTTGCATGACTTGAATTGAATCCATGCCTAGAAGTTAACTTACGTGCAATCAACACCGCAGGATATCAGAAGATCGCCATCTGTAGACGTTGCCAAACCTCTCACAGCACCCTGGTGTCCAGGGAACTGGCAGACTGTCTTCCTGTTTTTATTGTTGTATAGAAAATTAAAATTACAGTCACAAGTTGTAGTAAACTATTTCAAACAGCTCAGTTGATATTTTATCGGCGGTACCTTGCAGCAATGTCCCATAGTCGAATATCTGTGAACAAAACAGAAGGCACGGTTTACCACTTCCGGTACAAATTTGAACTTGATCAGAAGATGAATAAGGTAATGCATAACTGAGACCTCTTGATCTTTTTGTGTAAATTTAAATAAACGAAGGGAAAACATCAGCTTCAATACTAGAAAGGTTGAGACAAAAAATCTGTTCCAAAATCACATAGTGGCCAGATCACACACAACTGAAGCGTAAGAGATTAGATGTTGCTTGCAAATGCACAATACAAGGGGATTGGCAGCCATGCGATAGTTTCACAAAGAGGGCAGGATTATATATTCACTAGAAATGGTAAGAAGAATAAATCCGTGCCAAATATTCAAACAGTACTAACAAAATTTTCAGTGTTCAAGAAAGCGTTTTTAAGCGACGCTTAAGCACTGAGCCATGGTAAAACACTTCGTTTTGGCCCTAAGCGGTGGATCAAGCGCTTCTTTAAAATTTGGCCAGATTTTGGCTGTTTTTTTGAACTACTTCTGCCTGGCTGCTTGCACAATAATGGCAATATGTCATTTATCTTATTACTAGGGTCTGTTCAGGAACTAGTTCCTTCAGATTCTGGCCACATGATCTCTATTACGCTATGTCCATTTGAACTGAACTGCATTTTAGTTCTTATTTTGCTTGCTGTGTGAAACTGATGTGTATTTGCTGTAGTGTGAAAAGCTGTAGATGCTATTTCAATTATCTACTCCCTCCTTTCCGATTTACTCGTCGTGGTTTTAGTTCAAATTTGAACTAAAACCATGACGAGTAAATCGGAACGGAGGGAGTATGTGCTATATTTCCTATTTTCCTGTTCATATTATTCAAAAAACGTCAAATTCTGGCCAATTTTAAAAAACGCTTAAGCGCCCATTGCTCTAAGCTGTGGCCTTCCGCTTCGCTTACGCTTTCCGCTTTTTTGAACACTGAAATTTATTATTACTTGAAGTATGGCCACTCAAACTGATACTCTGTCCGGTTCAAAAAAACAGGCTGTTCTGGCCTTTTGGGTTACATGCAATCAAAAATTACAAACTGCCTATCCGCACGCTCATGTACGTAGATAGGACACATGAAAACTATATGTGTAGATTTGTCTTGAACAAGTACTTCCACCGAAATTAGGTTTTATAAATATATTCCAACAGAAGTCAAATATGCATTTCAGGGCAATGAACAAAGAGACTTTTTCTTGCGAACTTGGGGGTATAGCATTAGAGCTTCTTACTCTTCAAATCCTAAGCTAACTAAACATTTCAATCAATGACCCAATGTAACTAAACAAGTCCCAACACTCCAATTGGCAGTAACATGAATGTGTCTACACTGCCATTCACATGAACCATTCCCTTTCCAGATGTCAATTCCTGAGAACGGTATGATATTAGAAGCAGAATAATTTTACGAATTTGCCATTTTAGTGTGTTGCCATCAGATACAATTGGATCACAATAGCAAATAAACTGCAGATCACTAGAACTAGATGATACTCTTGATTGGTCAACATAAAGTATTCTTAGCAACCCAGAGAAAATGCATACAAATGTTACAGGTCATATTCCAGATTTTACGTGCAAAGTGAGTCTCATGTTGACTGAGGCAAGAGTTCACTTTGAGCTCCATATGAGATTATAATGCCCTCAGGCAAAAACAAATCCAACATTTAGCAACCCTGAGGTGCAAACTAAAAAGCAGAACAGGGAAAGGTTGTATGTTATAATTTAGTGCATTGAGCTTAGTAAGCTAGTTCGTTGAAGGAGCAAATAAATAAGCATTGAACGCACTCAAAGAGACAAAAGCAGCACACTAGTGCAGAAGTATGATAATTACCCCCATCCATCGAGCCAGAAAACATAGCTTTCACATAATTCATGTTCTTTGCCATGCACGAGACAGCATCAATGTGACCATCCATTGCTCCAATAAATGGCCTGGCAAATATCTGAAATGGGGAGCAGCATAAGTCACATGAAAATATACAACATAAATGCAGATAAGGAAGATGAGACGTACCTTCTCTAACTTTGCAGCATTAAGTGCTCGAGTGTACTCAACAGCTTTCTCTTGACTACGGAGTGCTGGATCATAATTGCGGAATACTTTCTGTTGGGAGTAACATGCAATAGAGATTGTCATTTGTTGGGAAAAAATATAATAAAAGGCCTAAGAAAGTGACCACACAAACTTGAACCTGGGGCAATTGCATCAACACTATATTGTGAATGTTTCAACTTGTATGGCAGCTACCATGCTAACACACCGCAGAAGTATTATTCGGTCGATACATGACCGAGATATCTGATGGCTACCAAATGTTAAGATGTTCCCCCAACCTGGCGAAAGGGGAACATAGCTCTGGCAGAAGGGGATCAATTTGACCCCTCAAGACAACTCCACCGTTTTTGTTTTTGTTTTCAGTTGAAAGGGGGGCCCTATCAATTTATAACTGGATAAAATGATAGTATTACCAACATCTGCAACTGCACGCGAACGCACTCCATGCTTAGGAAACAGTTCTCGCTTCTTATCCTACCCTATCTACAGTACGAGTATGATGACTACACTGGATGCAACGCAAGGAGTCGCAACAGACTGAGCGGGAGCACAATCAATAGAAATTACGAATGGAACGAGGGATTCACCTGCAGGTCCTGGCTGCGCTCGCGCGTGAAGTCGTCGGTGGAGCGCGATATCACCTTCACCCTCATCGCGACCGCCGATGCAGCGAGGCAGGGCAAAGGGCAAGGATATGCGGCAGGGGCGCGATGAATCCGTAGATGAAGGTGCGGGGCTAGGGTTTTGCGCCGACCAAGCTTCTCCTCCTCTAAACCCTGGTTGCCGCCGCCGCCGCCGCAGCCGTCGAGGGGGAACAAAAGGGAGAGAGGAGTAGAAGGCTTCGAAGCAAAGATCGGCGGCCGTAGAAAACAACGGGATGAAACAGGCTACCCTCAACGTTTAAGAGCCCATTGGGCCCTTCTCACACAGCCCAAGAAGAAATGGACCGAGCAGACCTATGAAAGGCCCACCCACATTGGTTCCTTCAGTTTGTGTGACTCGAGCGCAAGCTAGCCGGAAACCATCTCCCCTCTCCTCCTCCCGTCTCACCAAGCCAGCCACGATGGCCGCCGCCGCCGCCAGGTCGATGCTCCGCTCGTCCGCTTCTCTTCTCCGCGCTGCTCCGGCGAGGGCCTCTTCCTCTGCGGCGCGACCGTCCCTTCGCCGCGCGTTGGGCGCGCCCCCTCGCCTACTCAGGTACGACCTCGGCCACCAGTCGACCATGCCCCCCTCAACTAGCCAGATGTGGATTGATTGTATGGCGTTGTTCGTTGTGCAGGTCGCCAGTCGAGGCGAGCTTCTGCGTGGAGTCGCTGCTGCCGCTGCACAGCGCCACCGCCGCGGCGCGGATGACGTCTATGCTCGCCGTGCCTGGCCGAGGCCTCGGGTGGCTCACGGAAGGTGAAACTGAAACTACTCTCCCCTTCAAATGTGTTATTAATTCGTACATTAGTCTCCAAAAAATGTGTATATAAATTCATGTGTTACGGTGTAATTCAGACAAATACACATATGTCAGTAGTGTTCCTATTGTCCCCAACAATCCAACTAAAGCTAAACGCTGTAGTAGCAGTAACCTACCATAGTTGATCCCAGTGTGCATAAGAACATTGACTTGCACCACCTTAGTCTTGGTTAACATTGGTCCAAACGTGCATAACGACTTCTCTGTAACATTCACCCAATTCCTTCAACACCTGGATCGTACTATGTGCATTTCAAACACAAATCAATAGATGCAATCCACAATTCTCTCTGGCCGTGTTTCCAGCATTTAGTTTCATGTTAACATCATTCTCCAGTCCTGTTTCTAGTCTTATTGACGAAAGAGACCCACTTTTCTGTTTTTATTTTTATTTCTTTGTTGTAGGGAAAGACGAAACTAGATGAAGACCAACTTGGGAAAGGTGACCACTAAAATATCTCCACCATTTTGTTGAAATATGAGTAAATGTTATGTCCCTTGCAATCTTAAACGACTACCAAACCTTGCTCCAGTATGTGTAGAAGTGCTGCCGTGCCAACTTATTGCTATATGAATCATAACTTCCTCTGGGACTCCCTACACCTTTTAAAACCATGTTTAACAATTGATAGATAATAATTACTAGACAAAACATAGGAATGATAATGGTTCCTATTATTGGAGGATTTCCTGTAAACTTAGTGACTAAGGCTCCTAATTCCACCGGAAAGAATGAATATGTTCATATTTTAGTTACATGATCTACAATTTGTGCATTGGGGCGCAAAATAAAAAATGATGATAGGTGTTACTAGTTATTGACTGGGGCAGTATTGAAGAGAACAAATTGAGAAATAATCTAAAAGTTCTAGGCGGACAACTCGCTGAAACTTTGTACCTTAAGTAGCGATTTTTTCACCTAGTGTACTGTTTGAGCGCCCCCCTAAATTGCAGGGCACTGTTTTTTAACATAGAGTATACAGTATTATAACGATTTATTTCCATGGGGAATTTTTTATCTATTTGTTTTTTTGTTCATATCATAGAGAAACTGGTTTTTTTTTTTACATTTGGCTATGAACTACTATGAAACACCCTGGAAAAGTAGCATATGTAATGTTTTAATTTATACATTCTTCTTAAATTCGTATAACTATCGTGATGAGTTATTATTGTTGGATAACAGCTGAAATTGATGGAGTATGATGCTGACCTGCCAACGGAGCCAGGAGATTACTAGTCTTTCAGGATGAGTTGACAAAGAAAGGAAGCATGCTTTTCTTTTTCTGTATGTGAACTACAATGAAATTTTTAATAAATGATGTTTGATATTGCTTAAACTTCATTTCCCCACCTTCATCTTCATTAACCAGAATCATTATGGTTATGTGATGAGAACTGTGCTAGGGGTGTAGAAGTTTGAATCGCTGGCAAAATGAATACTATGTTTGACCTTTTGTATGTGTTTGTTTGGTTTGTCAGCATGATCTGGTGATTAAAAGCCTGTTCCCTTTCTTTTACTGGCAATGTGGCTTGGCGTCAAGCATATATTGATCCTTTTAATCTTCACTTGGCAATCTCATTTATCTTGTACTCCCTCCGTAAACTAATATAAGAGCGTTTATAGATAATTAATTTAGTGATCTAAACGCTCTTATATTAGTTTACAGAGGGAGTACATCATTGTTGTTTCAATAATGCTCCGACAGACACTTGAAAAATATTTACACAGGCTAAAAAGGCAAGTATGCGACTCAAGGAATTCACATGTGTAGCTGTGCCCTAAATAACTTGATAACAATATGATCTGAAATCATTTACAAGCAATTTCTGTCAGTACTCGTCTATATCATTGCGAAGTAGTCACTTTGGGTAGGAAGTCCGCACTACCTTCATCTGATGACTAGACAAGAACTTCATGCAGATGGGTGGCTCGATTTGGAAAATTGAAAGTAGTGCTGATGGCAATGCCCAAAGTCCATCTCCACAGATCAAACCTGATGCTACTACAACTGCAAGCTTATTTGCGTTTTTCTTATCTGTTTTCTTCCAGATAACTAACAGTAGACTCCCCAAGGCCATGTCTATTGCAATATTCGGTGCAATTAAGAATGGAATTGCCATAGCCATGGCGTTTGGAATGTAGTTACTTGCCTTCCACTTCTTTGCTTTGGCTACTGCTGACAGGCAATCCAGGCAAAAGGCCATAAGGAAGAAAGCTACACAGAACTCAATGGAGTGCCTTGGGAGTATCTTGGTTCCTTCAACACTTAAAACTGCGAGCCCACGGTATGCGGTGGCCAAGGGAGCCGAGAATACCGATCCAGCTTCCCCCAGATGCTCTTTGCCGACAAGTTTTTCGAAGGACAGGAAGACAAGCGGGTTGATCAAGCAACCAAGTGCAGTCCCAATTGCTTGGCTTATGAACATGGACAGTGGCGAGGTGAGTGTTAGGTATCCTGTCTTGAAGTCATGCATGAGCTCAGCGGCATTGCCAATGATCATCAACATGACACCACAGGCAGCAAGACCGGCAATGGCGCCACCAGATGCTTCACCAACCCATGCCCCAACAAGGAATATAGCAAGCTTCGCGTAGACGGGTGCCAGGGACCAGTCACACAGTCCAGAAGCATATGAATTGCAGAATGCCAGGATGGGAGCGACAGCGTATAATAAGGCCACATGGTAATATCGGATCTGTGGGAAGATACGTGGAACAAAGATTGCTGAGACGGCTGCGAGGAGGATGTAGCCAGCAACCGAGACATAGTCCGGCAGTCCTTCGTTCAGAAAGATCTTGTTCCTCCGACGCTCATCATAGCTAAGAGCTGTTTGTTTATCTGAATTTCCATCGGCTGGTATGTTGGTACTGCCTGGATTCCGTTGCTGGCGATTCTTGTGGAAGTGGTTGGCAGCCCTTATGGTGATTGAACCCAGTTGGAACAGACAATCCCCAAGCACCATCGATATGCCCATGGGCACCTGTTTCATGGAAGCAGCAAACATGGTCAGCGAAGTGTGAAGACTGAAACATCTGATCAAGTAGGAACCATGGTAAAGTTCAGACAGAATTCTGTCATCACTCACCTTGTATCCATTGATTCCCCTGAAATTTGTCGGCGAAGGATCGTTGTACCAGTCCCCTTTCTTGCTCTGGAGGGTTGGCCACAGGATGAAGGAGGTAATGATAGACCCGAAAAGCATGGAGAAGTTGATGAGGACAGGGCAGATCATGCCCACGCCGACGAGACTCGCGGAGAAATCAAAGTAAAACTTCTGCTTATATGCCTTCAATCCGAACATGGGAAAATCTTGGAAGCCGCAGCCGCTTCCTCCCGTGTAAACCCACTGGAAGGATGCCCACATGAAGCTTCCAACAATGGCTTTGGACATGGCCATCACTTGCTTCCTAAGGAGGGGAGGAGAGAAAACAATAATGCCGGTTAAGCTTACAAACGGCATAGTGAAGAACCAGCAGGTTACAAAATGGCATTGTGTTTACTTTGCTGTTGCGGCTCCCGCTGGTGTATGGAAGCTGTTGACGATTCCGGCGATAGCCGAACCAGATGGATACATCAGTTTGTAGTCCAGTATCATGAGCTGCCAAACAATGGCGAAATGTCTCAGTTTTTTCATAGCAAAGACATGGAAATGGTGGTGACTCTTGGTCGGAAACTTCACCTTCCGCAGCGGGAGGGTGCAGAACAAGCTGGCGAAGGTGACGAGGCCGAGGAAAGCCACCACGTTCCCGGTGTGCAGCGTGTACACGTCCTTGCCGGTGCCGGTCCCGCCGGCGGACTTGGCCACCGTCTCGGTCATCGCGAGTAGGTAGGTCGTGAAACCACCTGCAAATGGCAAATCACGGCCGCCGGCTGAGCAAAAAACCTGGTGGAAATGGCCGTGTGCGTGCGCGGCTGCGTGGACGGGCGGACGTACGGTACCGTAGAAGGAGAGGGTGGAGCAGGAGATGACGCAGGTCTGGAGGACGACGTTCTCCTGCCTGGTGAAGGGCTGGGAGGCGACGCCGAAGCGGGCCAGCAGCCGCGTCCACGACTTGATCACGAAGAAGCCGAGGAGGCTCGCCACGATGTTGAACGTCGGGCCGACGCCGGCCGTCAGCCCGATCCGCATCGACATGAAGCTCAGCACGGCGCCCAGCACCGCACTCACAGCCACCGACCGCGCCGTGACCTGCCGCCACCACGGCGGCGGCGGCTGGCCCGCGAACGCCACCTCCACAGATGGCTCCTCGTCGCCATCCTGTCCGGCGGCGACGGCTGCTGCAAATTCTGCCTCCTCCTCCGACCGTGGATGCCGACGACCGGCGACGGGAGCCATGTTTGCCTGAGGCCTTGCCTCAGCCGCTAGTTTCGTTTTGAGCACGTTCGCCAAAAGTGTTGGCCTTGCTAGGCCTTGCCTTTTTTAACTGTCACCAACATAAGCGTTGCTTTTTATAGCCGTAGCATGTCTGGAACAGCAGATGACTATGGTTTTACCGGATCTCAACGAAAATTCTGTTCTGGACACGTCAATATAACATCAACACAATGTAACAGCAATTCAACACAATATGTAATGGCAGTTCATTCCATTTGATCTCTAAAGCTCAGCGCAACATGGCGGCACGCTGACCTTGTTCCATTACAACAGCAATACAAGCAGTGCCAAGAGGAATCACAATCCGGTAAGATGCATGGAAAGCTCAGTTTGATCCATCGAACATTCTAGCTCAAGTGATACAATCTTGATCTTATCTACTACCACCATAAGAAATAAACAAGCTTACCAAAGGCTTGATAATATTCATTCATAGTGCTTCGTTTTTATGGCGGGAAAAGGGCAGGGAAACTTCAACAATTACTCAGCCACGTTAACCAGCTCGTACTCTACTTGCGACAAATTGTTCTCTTCATTCACAGTAAAGCTGGCAGGTTCTGTAGCTTCTACCCGCCCCCACTTGTCCACCGCAAGCCTCATCGAAGCTTTGAACATGTCAATTTTAGCATTGCGCAAGATGGCTGTAGCACCAGCTTTCAACAGGTCAACTGCATAGTAGATCATACCATCAGTCCATAGTACATGCATCATGAAATAGAATCCCCTATACTATACAATGACCATGAGCAACTAAAAAGATGTACAAGATCTGAAAAATGACATGAGTACAGGATTCCTAACATGCATAACATCAAAAGGTGCTACTGCCGCTTATAACAGCCATTGGGTTGTGAGTTCTGACCATGCAATTAATTAACAGGTGAAAGAAGAGTATGGTATGTCAGAAGGTAGTAGTGCTATATTAGGATGCTTTTCTCTGTCATGTATGACATCAAAGGACAAAGAAATTTGTACTATCAATATGGTATGTCAGACTATGGTTTCCAGTTGAAGACATGGAGAGAGAGGAAGATCTAGTATCAAAAACATGGTCAGATGTACTTCGTGCATGTATGGTGAAATAATAGCTCAACTGGACACTGAAAAGAATGCATCACCTGCACATATAGAAATATAATACCCTCATTTGGATTCAAATAAACAATAGAGCAATACAAGATTGGAAAAGAATGGTGTGCTGTTTCGGAAATTGGAAAAACAATATCAGGTCCAAGTCAATCCAACTGTGTAGATGGCCGCTGGCCAGCAGAACTGTAGGATGGCAGGTAATGGTAGTCAACAACTTTTGTTTGTCGTGCAGCCTTTTTTAATCAACTATGCATCATTAGATTTGCTATTTTGTTTTCATAATTGCTTCAGGACAAAACCTAATCAATTTTCTCTACAGGCCAACAAACAAACAACAAACAACAACAAAGCCTCTAGTCCCAAACAAGTTGGGGCAGGCTAGAGGTGAAACCCATAAGATCTCGTGACCAACTCATGGTTCTGGCACATGGATAGCAAGCTTCCACGCACCCCTGTCCATGGCTAGTTCTTTGGTGATACTCCAATCCTTCAAATCTCTCTTTACGGAGTCCTCCCATGTCAAGTTTGGTCTACCCCAACCTCTCTTGACATTATCAGCACGCTTTAGCCGTCCACTATGCACTGGAGCTTCTGGAGGCCTGCGCTGAATACGCCCAAACCATCTCAGACGATGTTGGACAAGCTTCTCTTCAATCGGTACAGGCCAACAAAAACTGGTTTATTTTCAGCAGAGATGCTTGCTGATCCTTCATGTGTGTAAATTTTTAAGAAGCTATTGGATCAATTACTGGGCAGATGCAGATCGCCACCCTTTGTGGCGACAGGCCTGGCGGTTGTCTCAGGTCGTGCAGGAAGCGTTCACTGGGAACTTGTAATCTGGGAAATTGTAGTGCCTTGAACGCAGAAAGGCGCTTTCCCTTTCTGCTGTTTTGGCATCTGAAATGTACTGCCTCTGTTCCAAAATATAATCTGTAGTTTGACTACTAAAATCGTAATACCAACCATCCAGATAACCATCTATTCATCATAAAACATATGGCCAGATGGCCTAAACTGTAAAACGAAGTGACAACCACAAGATTTACACCTCTTATCCTACCGTCGCCACTATTAAAGCTGCACAAATTTAGAAGCACCTAACCATCATAGACTATTATCTACGAATCCAAACAGACTAGCGCAAGAAGACCGTGTCCTAACAAATCTACCATAAGGCACCCTATGCCAAGGCCAAGGAGCGGCAACCCCAATCACCTTGGTCGTTGCGGGCGGTAAAGATGATGGAGCCAGTCTCGTCGCCCACGAGGCACTCCGCGATGCGGGGGGCGCGGGCGGAGGAGGAGGCCGGCGCACCAGTGCGCACGCGGCCAGGGACGGGGTTGGCGCTGACGACCTTGACGATGAGGGTGTGGCCGTTGGTGCCCGGCTTGAGCTGGTCCACCTTGACGAACACCGGCTTCCTGAGCGCCGGCTTCTCGCCGCCCTGCGCCGCCGCCGTCGACATCGCGGGGGGTGGTGGTGGGGTGGTTTTCGGATCGAGTCGTGCCTGGGTGGGGGTTTGCGGTTGCGGGGGTGGTTGGGAAACCCTAGAGTTTCGGTGGGGAGCTGGGAGTGGTGGTAGAGGGAGCAGACGGCAGTGAGGCTTGTTGTAGTGCGAGCTTCGGGCTGTAAGAATTGGGCTGAGCCTGATCCATTAGAGGATAATGGGCTGCATAGTTTCAAATTGGCCTAGTAAATGATCCAATAATTTTGAACGTTTCCCTACAAAAAAAATTCAGTTTTTTCCCTCTAGCTAGGGTTTTGCCTTCTCCCGGTGGCGATCCAGCCGCCGTCGAGCTCTTACCTTCCCACCTCCGATCCCACCCGGATTTTCACGGCTCGGGCTGATTAAGGGGTGATCTAGCATCACTTCCCGGCCTTGGCGTGTCATTTGGCGATTGATTTGGAGAGTTAGGGTCAGCTTCAAAAGCCCGATTCGTTTTTCTCGGGCTAGGGTTTCAGGTTTTCAGCGGCGATGGGATCGAAGGCTTATGGGGCATCGAGTTCCACCTCCGCCTCTGAAGTTGAGAAGATGATGGCCGAACTAGGCCTTCGGGAAGAAGATTTGGATGATGTAGTCTTCGACGAGAAGACGGCGCCACCGGATGCGACAAGATGGATGGCTGTTGCTAGGGTTCACATCGATAAACCCTACAGCCAGTACTGGTTCTTTAAGAACATGCGGGCCGCTTGGGATCTGGCGCATGAGGTGAAATTCCGCCCTTTGGAGGATAATCTGTACACAATCCAGTTTTTCTGCCTTGGTGATTGGGAGCGTGTGAAGCAAGAGGGACCGTGGAACTTCAGAGGAAACGCCGTCATTATCACGCCCTATGATGGAATGACCAAGCCGACTGAAGTAGTGCTGGATAGTCTAGACATCTGGATTTAGATTCATGACGTCCCGGACCTGTATGCTCATCTGGTGACGCCGCTTGCGGCTAAAGTTGGAGAGGTCTTGTTCACAGAAAATGTGACTCGGGATTTTGCTGGAATTTTTTATCGAGTGTGGGTCAGGATCAATGTGAACAAGCCCTTGAAGAACGCTGTGACAATGATCCGCGACGGAAAACGCCAGATTTATCGAGTCAAATATGAACGCCTCCCGGACTGGTGTGCCGTTTGTCGACACTTAGGTCGTGTTTATAAAGAACATGGCGATGGCATACATCCTCCATCTGCGCTGTTTTTCAAGGATTTGAAGGCTGCATGGAATATGAGGGTAGGGGCTGGACCTGGACGTGGAAGAGGACGCCGCGGTGGACGGCGTGGTGGCTGAGCTGGTCGTGGCAGGACTTCTGAGTACCCTGATGATGATGAGGCCCGTTATCCTAGCAATGGTTACCCTGATAAGTTATGGATGAGGGAGAGGAGAACAGGAAGAGATCAGCGGGGGAGCAGAGGGAGGGCGCACTTTTGGCCCTCCTGTCAACCATGGGAAGTAACTTGGAACTTGTCAATGCATCTGCACCGGTTAGCCCTTCATCTAAGCAAGATCCGAAAAGGTCTCGTATCATCACTGACAAGAGCAGCCTGAAGAAGGGTGATGTCCCAGAGAAACAACATGATGCAAAAACGGCGACCTCCCGAGTGGAGGATCGCCGAGCACAATGAATATCCTATGTTGGAATTGTCGCGGTGCGGGTAAAGCCGCGACAATTCGAGAGCTTCGCGATTTAGCGAAGCAATTTGCCCCCACCATATTGTGTATAGTGGAGACTCAGATATCAAAAGCACGAGTGGAAAGTCTTGCTGGTACTTTAGGATTTAATCATGCTTATGTTGTTAGTAGTTCTGGTCATAGTGGAGGCTTATGCCTTTTTTGGAATGATGGAATAAAGTTGGATGTTTTTGGTTACTCTGAGTATCATGTGGATGCAAAAGTTGCCATGCCAAACTATGCTGAATGGAGACTTACGTGTGTTTATGGTGAGGCGCAGGTCGGAGAAAGATACAAAACATGGGACAAGTTGAAGGCAATCTCAAGCGCTAGCTCACTGCCATGGCTATGCATTGGGGATTTTAATGAGGTTTTGCACTTACATGAACATGTGGGGTCAGGGCAGAGGAGAAGATCCCAAATACAAGGCTTCAGAGATGTAGTGGATGTTTGTGCTTTGGTTGATCTGGGTTATAATGGGAAGCCGTGGACCTTTGAGAAGAAAACGGCCGGAGGTTACTGTCGCGTTAGGCTCGACAGGGCACTGGCTACATCTGACTGGAATAACACTTTTCCACATGCATATTTGACGCACGAGACAGGCGCCTCGTCAGACCATAGTCCCCTTCGTTTGCAGTTGGAACCAGCACATGCAGCAGTGACAGGAGGCAAACCATTCCGTTATGAGTGCTATTGGGAACGCCATAACAGT